CATTCCTAATCCCTACCCAGTAGAGAGATATAATCACACTGCAAATAAAAGGGAATGCACCAGAGATTGTGTGGGATTTGGAGGTTTCTCACGGCTGATTTTGGAAACGAGATGGAGATTGGTCGCGAATAAGGTGGAGATTGTGCTAGAGAGAAAATAGGGATTTAATTAATAAAAATGGAAGTTAAGATATAAACCAATTTGAAACCCACCATTAACGGGATACGCACGTCCATTAATTAAATGATTTATTATTTAATTAAAATGATAAAACCTGAAAATTGAATAAATAAATTACAAACCTGATTTATAAAAATGGATCTTTAAACACCTGTTTTTATGTAATTTTCACTTGTATGAATTAGGTTGAGTTCCATATAATCCAGCCATAGCTTATGGGCCGTGCTGGACAGGCACTCTTGGTCCATGTTCAGGAAGGTGGGCTGGGCTGGGAATTCTCGACCCGTGATCTACATGGGCCTGAGCAATATTACATGGCGATTATCGATACTTATTTAGTAGCTCTCGTGAGAGTTTGTCCGAAGGACAAAAATGAGGAAATTAGGCTTAGTACGATCTAAGATCAAGAAAATAGATTAATACTCTCATTTATTATAAACTTTTAATTAAGATTAAATTTTACGTGAAATTTGATTGTACAATGTTTGTTATTTTTTGTCGTAAAAGTGACCTGATATCATTTGTTATGTCAACAGTGAAAAACTTTGTGTGACGTAAATATCAATTAAGGCCATGTTTGATTGCATTTCAATTTCATTTTCCACATTTTTGCATGTTTAATTGCCCAAATTTTTCATGAAACTAGTTTTCCATCTTTCACCCACATGNACGGGCAAATTGATAGCTAAAAGAAAATTGGCCGGGCGAGCAGCCCGCCGGAAACGAAATTCAAGGGATAATTTGTTTAGGATGTGAACGGCTCTGATACCATGTAAAGAATATTAAAATTGTATATAATAAACTTGTTTCTATTACAAAGTAGAAGACCCTATTTATAGGGTTACAAATACCTGTAAAAGGAAATAAACATAAAAGGAAAGATTACATAATCAACTACTAAGGAAATTAATCCTACACTAAAAGGAAATATTATAATGGAAAATA